CATACATACACACACCCAACCAACCATCCAACCATCCAGCCACCCACCCACCCAAACATACATACATACATACACCCAAGCATTCAACCATCCATTCATATATACACAATTTATTGTCACTTCTTCTATTCCCAACTGGACTCTGAGGACTCAGGTGATCAGATGTAGTCCCTGGCCTTGAGGAGACCTCATCCTCCAGTAGTCATCAACAATCCCACTGCTGGGTCCTCTTTCCACTCATTGCTGTAACAGAGCCCAAAAAGAGGACCTTGGTTTGTTCTCTGTATGCCCCTAAAAAGACATGGTTCTCAGAAGCATGGGGCTAACGAGCAAACCCTGAGACTCAGTTCTTTCTTCTTGGTTTCTCAGGCTCTGATCACAAGCCAACCTCATATCCCATAAAACACCAAAATATCACAGAAATGCCAACACAGTGGGGTTCAAACTCTGCCTTACCCAGCCTCTCCCTTCTACCCCACTACACCCCCAGGATGCTTCTGTCCAATCACTCTAGCTTTTGACTGGAGCCCTGTGGCTACTAAGGCCAAACCCTGGGCTTTGGATTCCCAATGATGGCCAAAGGTGACCCCATGTGCACTGACCTCTCCCGGAAGTACTTGATGGCCTCAGGGTCTATGAAGGTCGGCTCCTCCCGGTAGCCCTGCTCAAAGACCTTGCGCTTGTGCCGGAACTCAATGACCGTCTTGGTGTAGGAGTTGAGTGTGGTGACAGAGGCTGCCATGCAGCAGGTAAAGGAGCCCCACGCCAGGCTGCCAAGAGATGAGGAGAGAGGTGCCACAGTGAGGGTGGGCAGGGGACAGGAAACCCCACCCGCCAGACATGCATTCACCCTGCACAGCTGCCTCCTCTGGGCCACTCTGGAGCAGGTGCTACTGCAGAGAAAACTAAGATGAGGTCTCCGCCCCACTCAGTCTGTACACTGTGGTGCAGACATGACAGCCTTCATTACTGGGACACAACGAAAGAGCGAGACCTTCCATCCACAGGGGCCAGACTCAGGGAAGGTCACCAGAACACAGGTAGGCTGCAAGGGGTCTTGGAGGATGAGCAAGAGTTTACCAGGGAGAAGGGCATTCCACAAAGAGGGAAGGGCGTGTGCAAAGGCACGGAGGCACCAGGCAGTAAGGAATAGCCCACAGACTGCCGGAGGTCTGAGATGCTGGGGCGAGGGAGAGTGTAATTAGTTGGAGTTGATGATAAAGAATAAGTGGTGGAGGGGACCCTAAAAGCTGGTGTCTATGATGGGTTAAATTACCTCTGTTCATGTTTGACCTTGGGCAAGATGTTTAACCTCCCCGCCCCTTACTCCTCACATCATTTTAATGGATGTAACAACAGCACCAACTCACAACGTTGTTGTAAGGACTGAAGGAGATGGGCCATTCAAAATATCTCAGACAGTGCCTGGTGCCCTGTCTGAGCAGGAACTCAAAAAAAGTTTGCTGTTATTACTACCGTCAGCAGTTTCAACATTCTTCCCACCCCTTCTGTCTGGCTTCATTTCCAAACTCTCCCTCTGCAAGATTAAGTTATCATGACCCGTCTGGCGCCCTTCTCCACCCTTCCTCCAAGCACTGCTGGCAATTCGTGGCCGCACTCACCTGCCGTGGATGTGGAGCCAGCCAGAGCTGACAACTGGAAAGAAGGGAAGGAGGTGTGGGGCTAGCAGATCAGGGGCTAGGCGCTGGTCTTCTCTGACCCGGTGTCCATTCTAGAAATGGCCTCCCGCCTAGTTCCTCTGACCAAGACTGGGCAGTAACATTTAGAATCAGGAGTGGGGACCTGCCTGACTCCGGTTAGTTACACCCAGCCGGGTCTCCGCATCCATGCTCTCCAGTCCCTGCCCTGATGACGGGTTTCCTCCCAATCTAGGACTCAGTGCTGCTGGCCTGTCTCAGAGCATCCAACCTCCTCTTCTGCCAGCCATCCGTTGGGTCTCTCAACATCACCGCCAATGCATTCCTCAAGGTCAGGGCAGCCCACCTGCCACACGCACTGCTCTGCTTTTAATCAGCCCCAGGCCACCCAGAAGGAAAGCAAGGGGAAGTGTGAGGATTCAGCCTGTCTCACAGGGATGCCCGATCATCACCAGTCCCTTACCGCCAAAACTGTTAATGGATTCCTTGTTCTTTCATGATAAGGAGCTAATTTAGACCTCCCAGAAGCTCTCCAGTATCTATGACAGACAGCGATGGGCTCCACCTGGTCCGTCTTAGAGTGGTCTGGTAGGTCACCCCGCCCCCCTATTCACAGATGATTGGATAAGGGCTGAGCATCTGACCGAAGTTGGTCCAATCAGATACTCTCTCCTCTCAGCAACGAAACTCAAGACCAGCTCAAAGTGGGATGGGTGTTTGAACTACAGAGGTGGAAATTCAGAACGTGAGGCTGGAGAATAAAGAAGCGCACCTTTTCTGGGATTCCATGACACACAGGTTGGTTTGGCCTGACCAGCATCCGTTCTGTTAAGGGACCAGTGCTCCCCTCCTCTCAGGCCACATGGTTTGCGTGGAGCTGGCCTCATCCCCAATCTTTAGGGTGATCACATGGCCAACACCTGGCCAATGAGAGCATCACTTCCCTCTGGCCACAGTAATTAGTTCAAGGATGGGTGTGACACCCAAGTCAGGCTAATGAGACTCCATCCCAGGACTCTCGGTCGTATCTCTCCCGGGGTGCCAAGCTGGTGGGATTTGAGCCTGGAGCTGCTAGGAACTGTCTTGCCACCACGCAACCTGCTAAGGAGGCTGACTCTTAGCAGATCCTTGAAAAAAGATCCAGGTCCCTGCGCTGAAGCCATTATCCCTGGACTTTTCAGTTATGGGAGCCCAAATTCCCTTATCGGATTTTTTTCTTTCTCTAAGCCAGTCTGAACTGGGTATCTGTCATCAGCAACCCAAGTTCCTGTACAATTGCTTTCTATAAATTCCCTATTTTACATGGCTTAGTTTTAAAGTGAATTTAAAGTCTTAAGGATCAGGGATCTTATCTAGGAGCAGGTCCAACTCCCAAGTCTGGTGACCCAACAAGGGGAGGAGCTTCTCTCCCTGTCACACACCCCTGTTCAATTTCATCTCAGCCCTCGCCACACCCTGTAATTCTCCTGGAGCTTTTCTTCCTATTATTTGTTATTCTTTGTTCTTAAATGAAACTTTCTATTTTGGGATAATTATAGATTCACAGGCAGTTGTAAGAAATAATACAGAGAGCTCCACGTACCCTGTACCCAGTTTTCCTCAATGGTAACGTCTTGCAGATACAGTCAGTCCCCAGCCAGCCTATCGACACCAATAGTCAAGATACAGACCATCTCCATTCATCACACTCCTGTTGCCATTTTACAGCCACACCCCCCTCCCCTCCCAACCTCTAGCAACCAGTAATCAGCTCTTCATTTCTCTTATTTTGTCGTTTTAAGAGTGTTGCATAAATGGAATCACATAGCCTGTATTTTGGGGATTGGCTTTTAGCACTCAGTATAATTCTCTGGAGAGTCATCCCAATTTCTATATCAACCATTTGTGTCCTTATATCAGGGAGTTTCTCCACATCTGCACCAGCATGTCATGTTGTCATTTTTTTTTTTTTCTTTGAGCGATTCTGATAGATGTGTAGTAACACCTCATTGTGGTTTTCATTTGCATTTTCCTAATGGCTAATGGTGCTGAACATCTTTTCTGTTGCTTACTTGCCATCTGTTTATCCTCTTTGGCAAAATATCTGTTCATATTCTTCTGCCCACTTTCTAATCAGATTGTTTGGAAGATGTTGTTGTTTACTGTTGAGTTTGGAGTGTTTGTATGGATCCTAAATACTGGGCCTTTGTGTGAGAGGTGGCTTACAAATGTTTTCCTCTGTCACTTGTCTTTCCAACCACAGGTCTGTCACAGAGCAAGTGTTTCATTTTGCTGACATCCAATGTATCAAATTTTCCACTTATGTTTTTGATCCATTTGATATCAAATCTAAGACCTCCGTGCCTATGTCTAGATCCCAAAGATTTTCTATTTTTTTTCCTAAAAATTTTAGAGTCTTACAATTTGTATTTAGGTCCCCAAACCATTTTGAGTTAATCTCAATACCAGGCATGGAGTTTAGATCAAGATTGATTTTTTTTTTCCTTTTGTCTCTGTATGTCCAATAGTTCTAGCCACCATTTGCTGAAAAGGCTACTCCCCTCTCCACAGAATGGATTTGCATCTTTGTCAAATTATCAGTTAGGCCCATTTGGGTGGGTCTATTTCTGGGTCCCTTCTTCTGTCCCATTGATCTCTGTGTATCCCTTCACCCATACCACACAGCCTAGACTACTGTAACTATATATTAAATCTTGAAATTGGATAGACTAATTCCTCCCACTTTGAGTCTTCTTTCTCAAAATTGTTTTAGCTATTCTAGTTCCTTTGCCTTTCCTAATAAGTTCTAGAATAATCTTGTCTATACCTACAAGAAATCTTGCTGAGATTTTATTAGGAATTGCATGAGGAGAACTGACTGTCCCTGGGGGCAGGGGTCCTGGCTCCTCCACTGCCGCTTGGGGAATGGGTGGGATTTGTTACTATTCCAGCAAAGTGGCAGTCCCGGCTCCCTGCTCTGCTATCACTGTAGCCGGTGACGTGCCTCATGACAGCCTGATGAAGGGAATCTAAGCTTGGTGCGAGTGGGGGGGTCCACCCACAACCGTTGGTTTGTTCGTGGTTTGCTTTCTGGGATGTGTGACTATCAAGAGCAGTTGTTGCTAAGTTTTCTGTCTTGGTAGGCTGCCCCTTTCCTGGTCTTTTGGCTACAGAAAGCAGACTTTTGGAGTGGTCTGCGTGTGTGTATGTGTGCGTATGTGCCTGCACGTGCACATGCGTTTTTGTTATTACTGGATCACTGACTTCTTAATTTCCAACCTGGGATGCGCTGGACAAAAAGTGCTCACTTGGTGTCCTGTCTCTTGGTCCCAGGTCAGCCTACTGTCTTCTGTCTACCAGCACCTTCTTACGCTTGCCTTATGTTTAATGTTCCAGGATTTTAGGTGTCCTTAGCAGGAGGAATAGGGAGACGTAGGTCTATTCCATCTTTCCAGAAGGGACAGGCCCGCTTATTTGGGCTTTGATCGCCTTCCCACCCACACCAAAACTTCAGCTTCGTGAAAACAGAAGCTTTGTTTTGTTCACTGCTCTATCCTTAGCACCTAGAGCCGTGCCTGGCACATAGGAGATGCTCAGTAAATATTTGTGGAATAAAGAGATACAGATATGACCCAAACAAACTGAACAAACAGATATAAAACCACTGTACTGGTTTTCACGTGGGTAGGGGGCATGGGTTGTATCCATGAGTCTCCATCCTCCTCACTGGGCCTAATCCCCGCAGCCCTCTGGGTCCCCACGCATGGCACCGTTTGAAAACCTTGGGACAAGTTTGCAGCTCGCACTTCTGAGTGGGTGCATTGAGGTACGTGGGTGGTTGGCCTGGTTTTGGGAGCTGAGAGCAGAGTGGACACTGTGGGGGAAGAAAGGGGAGGGTGATGGGCTGGACAGAGTGGCTGTCAACCTCTTGGTCCTCTGGGAGCTGCAGGGCAGGCCAGGGCAGATGCTGGGGCCAGATCCGGGGATGAATAGAGGCCCTGCTCCGTGGGAAGACTGTTAATTGACCCCCAAGGGAGGCAGCCCTAGTCCTCATTCAGGACAGACGGACAGAGAATCACAGTGCAAGACAAGACACAAATGCTTGGTCTAGTCCACGCTCAGTGCCCCAGAGC